TATAAATACTAATAATAATAATGATGATTCTGTCATGCTCACTCACACAATGGCACTACTGGTAGAGGCAGGTCCCGCTCAGTGTGAGTAAAGGCATGAGAATCCATCCCTGAGAGTCTTTATGCATCCTTCTTAGTTTCCCTCTGAGCTCCCCCTCTCAAGTACTGAGCAGGCCCACTCCCTTTTGAACTGTCTCTTTTGTCAGTCTTCATCTGAAGGAACAGCTGGTTCCCCCAGGCATTTTGTCCTGGTTTTGGTTAATATTGTGTAGATTGAACAATATCCCAGGTATTATATCCAGAGCATTGTGCATTAGAAATGAATAAGGGCCTGATTCCAGGAGGTCTATGCAGTAAGGTACATGGAATAAGGTACAACTCCGGTTATGTCTACACTTTGAGCTGGGGGTGTGAGAAGCTAGCTGCCCTGAGTACAAACCCATCCAAGATGCTAGGTGCATACTCGTGTGGCTAGCCCCACCCACAGCTCGTGCTGTCACGTCTGCACTCTATTTTTAGTACGCTAGCTCAATCAGAGCTAGCGCAGGTATGACTCCTTGCGCTGGGAATCACAGCCCCTGCTTGAAGTGTAGGCATACCCTCAGTGTGAGTCAGGGTGTCAGAGTTTGTCTATACGAAAAGAGCAACTGAAATTGCATCACCCACACAAAGGATCCAGATGCCTGTTCTGTTTCTTTTGTTTCCATGTTCAGTTTCAAATAGCCAGCCATGACCTAGGTGCAGGGCATTTCCTGTGATTAGCAGCCTTTGGGACTGGTGACCTTTAGACAGATCTTGGCCTAGCCTCTCATTAATTTCCAAAAAATACCTTTCACCTCAGCTGGACAGTACTAGGCTACAGCCTATCCCTCACCAGAGCTTACCTTTAAAAAAAAAAAAAATGCCAGCTCAAGATGTTTTTCTTTTGGAGCAGCAGTAGCTTCCATAATCTTTCTCACACACCTTCACTCACTCGCTCACTCACACACACACACACACACATACACACACACACACGCACGCACGCACACCAATCATAAAATGGTAGAAATTAGCAATGTGACAGGCCTATTTGGTTACCTAGTCTATCCCTACCATTTCCTAGGGTCTGATGCTCCATTATCCTGCACCTTGAACAATCATTTACACCAGGACAAAGTGATGTAAAGTGGGCGCCATTCTGACCCCCACTTTGCCTCTCTTCTCGTGCATTATCTGGTCTAGTGTAAATATCTCACAGGATGAAGCTTTTCCCACTTCCCTTAGAGATTATTCCCTACAGAGATATCCCATCTCATTATTAGCAAGTTCTTCTTGGTATTTATCATAAAATTTCCTTTGTTGGATTTAATCCCTAGTTATAGCACCTTGGACCATCCTAAATAATTCCCTTTCCTCTTTGTTCTTTGCACACTTCACCTACTTAGAGACATTAGTTTGTACTCTTAGTTGTCATGTATCCAAGCTATACAATACGTAGTATTTAATCTTTAAATCAATCCCTCCAGGGCCCTGCTGCCAGTGATTGAAGTTTTGATTGGAAGGGAGTTGGTACCAGCACAACTCAGAAGAACTGGATGTTTTTCTATTATGAGAAGCAGGTTATTGAGTTTCAACAGTATCTTGCCCTTCATTCTCTTAGTGGAACTGTTTGTGAGTTCTCCACAGCGGCTTGCCTTTAGCTGGCAAGAGTTATTTCCCTGCTCTCTTCCCACCCACCCACCTCCCTTGACTATGCTAGGGCAGTACAGACAGAAACACCTGAGAATAACTGAATCCATTCTTCATTGCAGTCACACCAAACTACAAGGGGTGCAGCACATCAGGCTCATGTGAGCCACACTAGAGGAAAACCATTGTCAAGAAAACACTGCAGAGCCTTGTTCTATGTCATGGCGGCAGGGGCATTCTACACTGTGTACATTCTTTTGTTCTGTACTATAGCAAACAAAGGACTATTTAGAACATGTATATGTGTGTGCATAGACCTCTATGCACACTCCCCGTATCAGCACCTATCATCAGTTGTTTGGGTGCTTATCTGATCTGAACCTCCCAAACCTTTTACTTTAGATTGTAAGCTCTTTGGGGCAGGGCCTGTCTTTTTTTGTTCTGTGTTTGTAAAGCACCTAGCACCATGGGGTTCTGGTCCATGACAGGGACTCCTGGAAACTATTGCAATGCAATTTATTATTGTTGTTGTTATATTTATTAATAATAATAAATATTTGCCCATCACTAATTCCATAGATAACAAAAAAGAAAGAGGTACTGTAAAACAAGCCCTCCCCACATGTGCAATGGAAACTCACTATAATGTCACATATATCGTCATATATAATCTGTCTGTACAGTGAGCTCTAACATGGATGGTATGTGCCTTAGAGGTACCTAGGGAGAAAGAAAGAGAGATTCAGATTAGATTTGTAGGATTGAGGCTACCTTGCCACAACTTTAGGATGGGAGGAGAAAGGGAAAAAGAAACAAGATGCACATATTATATCCATCATGTAGTCTCAGTGAGAAGGCACATACCCATACTGAGAAGTGTGGTTTCTTTTTAATGAGAGGATGTTGGTGTCTATATTCATTGAGTCAGCTGCCTGGTGCTATGAGGTTATCAGTCTTAAAAGCAGCACAAGTAGAAAAATAGGATTTTACAATCAGACAAGCAGAGAGATGATATATTAAAAGTTACAGGGAACAAAATCCCACCGGATATAGTGAGAATAAAAACATCATATTGTGAAGGGCTTTGAGACCCAATGATGAAAAGCGCTATATAACAGCTAGGTATGATGATGTTGATGATGATGCAGGCAAGTAAGAATTCTACTCCATTATCCTTCTACTAATACAAAGCCAGGCTGACAAAACCAGAGCTGACACTAGACTGTATAGTATATAACAGGCAAAAATCTTAGATATGAGCTAAGGCCCTGATTGTGCAAAAGTTTACACATGGGCTTAATTTTACACACAAGAGCAGTCCCATTGAATGCATACTGATGCTACTCACATGTATAAAATCAAGCTTGTGTATGTTGGAAGGATCAGAGGTTGTAAATAAATCCATTAATTCAAAATATTAGAATACTGTAGTTCTATTTTAAAAAAAAATTAAAGTAAGGAAAATCAGATAAGTTTCTGCTGTCAACTTTAACTCTGACCCCCAAATCACTCCCAGAAATAGCTATACCATTGCTAACTATTCTTCTTCTGTATTTTTTATTTCAGAAGTGTTACAACATTTCTATGTAAACATTTTTGAAACTTTCACCCACTAGAGCTAATCGGGGTGGATAAAAATCAAGCACTGTTTTTTCATTTAAATTTGTTTTTTTTATTTAAATTACAATGTTTTTTTTTAAATAAATCTGTTTAAAACTCAATCTGAATTTGACAATTTATGTTAAGATATAGACCTGCTATCATCTATTAAAATCCTTTAAATAAATAACATAGTAATATGCTGAATTAACGAGCTGTCCTCAAGTTAATGCTTTATTTTTATATTAAAAAATAGTGGGAAAAGATCTTTCACTAACTTGTAAGGTCAAGCTTTATTAAGATGGCACAATATAACATGAACTAAATTAAGTATCTATATCATTTTCAGTATTTATAATGGAGTGAATTCCAAATGTCAGCACTTTCAGTCTCTGTTGTGCAGAAAAGCTTTTGTCTTAATTACTTTTTATTTCAGTTTAGCAGAAATACTTTTAATTTCACATTTGCAGTCTATTCTATTCATCAGAGTCATCTAGCATTCTTCAGCATAGCTTCTACTGTAGATGTCAACAACAGGAAAGTTGGGGGGGAAACATTTTTACTTTTTTTAAATGCTGGTTTTGTGCTTTTTTCATTGAATTCCAATTTCTATCCAAATGCAGCTTGACACTAATAATGAATAAAAAGTTAATCATTATCTAGTAAAGAAGAAATGCATCCATCACATTTTCTAACATAATGAAAAAATGTAGAAACTATTAATCTGAATAAATGTATGTTAAGCTACATAATTGCGTGACTAAATGTGTATAGTTATAGTGTATCCTCCTGGTTAGCAAAAGGACTTTCCTAATCTCATGAAAAGGTTATATTTAGTGGTAAATAAGAAAACCTACATATTTTAATGATTATACTAACTGATAAGAATGAAATGGGAAAATAAAAGCACAAACATAAAACAATTAAAATTGATGATTTAAATAAAGGTTTTTCTGCTTGCTGATTTAAATCATGATTGAAATCAGTCATTTAAATCAAAATGACTTAAATCAGTCTACTCTGGAACTAACAGAATAATTTGTAGCAAATAATTTAATTTGATGAATTTTACCTAATTTATAGTCTGAGGATTGTTCATGAGTAACATCTGATTTTCTCAGATGTATCCATCATTTGATATTATTATTTATTGAATCATTTTGGTCAGCAATTCCTCATCTGTAGATCATTTGCAAGCAGTTTGTTGTGAGCATGCAATATTCAAAAATTGAGTTGTGTTGTAATTTTGATTGGACACATAATGTAAGTCAGGTGTTAGGTTTCCATCCCCCTGCTGGATAAACACAATTCCTAAAATTAGTTTCCCAACACTAATACTTGCATGTATGAATTCACATTTCTTTCAGCACAAATATTCCCTAATATATTGCCTTTGAAAATCTCTCTCACAAATATATGTGGACAAGAAATGCTAAAGAGGCATGCACACGGTTAAAACAAATTCATTTAAAAACTGAAATAAATATTCATGGTGTGATACTGCACCCCATATTCTTCACAGTGATATTATGATATGATTATGACATAGTTATGATGTATTTTATGCAAGCTAGGTCATGTGAGGTGTCATTGGAAAAGTTATGATTTAATATATTTATATATTATAAATATATAATATATAAATGAATATAATTATCCTATTTGTATGCATGTATCGTTTTTGTATCTGAAGTTATTAATATTGACTATGTCTCCGCATTTCAAATGTAGTTACACCTGGGGAATGCCTACTAAACAAGATGCTTTCATTCTATACAGTGGATGGGGAGTGGGCCATTAGGAAAACAATAGGCCTTAGGAAAAGCTTATCTCCCACCTGGGAAGCCTTCCTGAGAATGCTACAGAGAGCCTCTAAGTAATGGCTGCTAGGACTCTACAAGGACATGTGATAAGACCAGATGTCTCTAGACTCCATCTTGGGATGTCAAGTAATTTTCCACAGGCCAATCTGGGGACCAAGATTTGAAACAAAGTGTTCCTGCTATATGCAAAAGCTATATAAGGCAGGGAGTGCCATCATCTGGGGTTCTTCACTTCCCACACAAGAAGACTCCTGGAAACACCTGAGGAACAAAGACTGAACTGGGGGAAGTGCTGGATCCATGCTAAAGGGATTTTTAGCCTGTGAATGGAACACCTGAGGATTCCAAGCTGCAAGCAAGTACAGCTTGTGCCTTAAGAATCTGCAGCCTGCTTGTATCATCTCTTAGGGTGAGAAACTGCTATTCATATCCAATCTATTTAGTATATTAAGTTTAGTTTGTGTTTTTTGCTTATTTGCTAGGTAATCTGCTTTGATCCATTTGCTATCACTTATAATCACTTAAAATCTATCTTATTTTTGCTTTATCTAAACCAGTGTGTGGGAATCATAACTCAGGGGCAAAAGGCTGTTGCATATTCCTCTCCACATTGAGGGAGGGGGCGAATTTTATGAGCTTATGCTATGCAGTGCCTTGTGCAGCACAAAACGGTATAATCTTGGGCTTATGCTCCAGAGGGGGTATGTGCCTGAGGAGCTGGTAGTAACTTTCCCCTGCAAGGGCTAGTCAGTGAGCCTGCTTGTAACTGCAGTTGAGTGTGTCCCTACCTGTATGTATGCTGGTGAAAGTGAAAGCTCGAGGGCTCTGTAGCTTGTCACAGCAGTACAGTGTGATCAGGAGCCCAGGTTGGTGGGTCAGGGGGTTCAGGGGTACCTCAGTTCCAGGTGGCACCCCTGGGGGAACCCATCACACAGGGAAGATTTGTTGAATTATTCGTCCAGCTCTGTTCACTACAGGTAAGAAGGAAATACTATACATTCTACAGAGATGCTGACTCTCTTCATTCCTCTGTGGTAAATAAGTAAGATTTGGTGTATGGAGTGCTCTGAATTCTACATCTTACATTATTATTATTATTAGTTTATTTATGTATTTATTCTCTGACCATCATGCCTAGGAGCTCCAGTCATACACCAGGACCCAATTGTGCTAGGTGCTGTACCAACACAGAAGAAAAAAGACAATCCTTGCCCCAATACTGTTATGAATGATAAGCCTGTGGACTTCATAAAAGACCAGCTATGGCTGTGGAAATTGAACGTTTCTAGTGGCAAGGTACTTCACTTCTTGAGTACAAATGGGCACCTGCTATTTGGCTCTCCTAACTTGCAAGCTGTGCTTGGCATGTCTGTTATGCTTCTGTGTTGCTTGATCCTGAGTTCCTTGGTTTCATTTAAGGAGCTTAAAAATTCTTCTGGCTATATTGGGAGAGTTTTGTAAACTTGAACAAAAGCTATTCAATTTCTGGTGTTCAAAACTTACCTAATTTCCTTTACACAGACACTTTGGCTTTCAAAATTATACTGGCAATGCCTGCAGAACTTGTACCCTCGTTGAATCAAAGCAATTTGGTTTGAAGAGTTTACAGACTCTTCACGCAAGGTCTGGGAAGTTTATTCAACTCCATTATGCACCATCACGAAATTTATAAACTCCACACAGAGATCTGAGAGGTTCAAATACCTGTAATAAATAAATTCAGAATTAATCAAAAATAAATAAATTCAGAATTAATCAGACAACCTTCTAAAAAATACTCCAATACACTAGATCTAGTCTGGGATCTGCTCAGGTCTCAAAAAAAAAAGGAAGATTAAATGTGGCAGTAAGTGGAGGAGACCTCTGAGAAAAACCAATGCACAGCAAATAGAAGTGTTGGTGGTTTAGTGAGTAGCTCTCTTCCTTCAGAAAAAACATTGAACCAGCACCTCCGTAAAATATTAAAGGGGGTGGTGCTGCGGGCAGTTCATATTTTCTGGTGAGCTGTAAAAGCAAGTTCCTTATCTTGACTGGGCATTAAAATAGTCTTCTTTACTTTTTTACATAACTGTTCTGCTTTGCTATATGCTATTAAACAGCTGCCACATTCCAACACAGAGGTGGCGGCATCTTAATGGTGGGTGAAGTAATTTGTGATTTTTTTTCAGGACAGAATGTCTGATTTTTATTACTAGGAACTCATTTTTTGTTGGAATTCAGCCTGCAGAGCAAAAACTAACTGTGGGAAAAGAGGGATTTTTATATGTAACTGGTTGGAAAACCATTCCCAGAGAGTAGTTATCAGTGGTTCACAGTCATGCTGGAAGGGCATAACAAGTGGGGGCCTGCAGGGATCAGTTCTGGGTCCAGGTCTGTTCAATATCTTCATCAACGATTTAGATAATGGCATACAAAGTACACTTATAAAGTTTGCAGACGATACCAAACTGGGAGGGGTCGCAATGTGCTTTGGAGGATAGGATTAACATTCAAAATGATCTGGACAAACTGGAGAAATGGTCTGGAGTAAATAGGATGAAATTCAATAAGGACAAATGCAAAATACTCCATTTAGGAAGGAACAATCAGTTGCACACATACAAAATGGGAAGTGACTGCCTAGGAAGGAGTATTGCGGAAAGGGATCTTGGGGGGGCATAGTGAATCTCAAGCTAAATATGAGTCAAGAGTGTAATGCTGTTGCAAAAACAAGCAAACATCATTCTGGGATGTATTAGCAGGAGAATTGTAAGCAAGACACGAGAAGTCATTCTTCGACTCTACTCAGCGCTAATTAGGCCTCAGCTGGAGTATTGTGTCAGGAAGGATGTGGACAAATTGGAGAAAGTCCAGAGAAGAGCAACAAAAATGATTAAATGTCTAGAAAACATGACTTATGAGGGAAGATAGAAAAAACTGGGTTTATTTAGTCTCGAAAAGAGAAGACTGAGAGGGGACATAACAGTTTTCAAGTATGTAAATGGTTGTTACAAGGAGGAGGGATAAAAATTGTTTTTCTTAACCTCTGAGGATAGGACAAGAAGCAATGGAGTGAAATTGCAGCAAGGGCAGTTTAGGTTGGACATTAGGAAAAACTTCCTAATTGTGAGGGTGGTTAAGCACTGGAATAAATTGCCTAGGGAGTTTGTGAAGTCTCCATCACTGGAGACTTTTAAGAGCAGGTTAGACAAACACCTGTCAGGGATGGTCTAGATAATACTTAGTCCTGCCACGAGTGCAGGGGACTGGACTAGATGACCTCCTGAGATCCCTTCCAATCCTATGATTCTATGTACAGGAATGTAAGTGTATAAATGTTAATAATAATGGTGATGATAATAATAATAGAACTAAAATGCTGTGTAAGGGCTTATCTACACACAGAAATTGTGCCATTTTCACTATACTAGTATAATTAGTTATACACCTCCATCCCCAACCCCAGTGTAGATGCAGTTTTACCAGTATAAATGTGCATACTGTGGTATAATTTATTTCCATCAGGAAGGGGAATAAGCTATACCAGTATAAGCCCATGTATATTCGTGTAACTGCATCCTCACTAGGGGTTGTACGTGTATAAGTATATTGGTAAAAAATGACACCCTAACGGAAATAATTATGCCGTTATAAAAATTGTGTGTAGTCCTGACTTAAAAGTCACAAGTGATTGACAGCTCAGGTGCTTCTGTTTGCTCTGTAAGTGGCCATGTGCCCCCTGGTGGTCAGATAACTCAATCCAGCCACTTATTTCAATCAAAGTGCAAGGAAGGAATTAGCGCACAGCATTGAGAATGTTGCTCTCTTTGGGGAAGGCAGTGTACCTCATTTTGTCAGAACCATTTAGCTCACCTCTGTTTCTGAGGCCACCCGTGTAGCACACTCCATGGGGCATGGCTTCTTAGCGCAGTATGTCTTAGTTAATTGACTCTAGTAGATCAAGTCCAGCTAAGTGAATGCCTTTGAAGGAGAGATCCCTTCATCACAACTTGCACTGTAGCAATTTCTGTTAATCAAGTTTATTTATAGTCAGGGTAGGATTACCCAGTCGTTATGCTGGGTTCCATAATATGGCCTTTTCTTTCTAGCGTTCCACAGAGTGACACTTTGCAACCATTGGTTGGTAACTGATATTCACAAGATGTAGTTTCCCAGGCAGGGAGCAGCTGAGAAACAGACCAAGGGCATTCTCCGTTTAGTAATAGAGCTGTCAAGCTGAAATGCAGAACCAGAGCACTGCAGTGAAGCATCACTAATGTGCACAGTAGCTTAGGTATTAAGTTCGCTAAGGAATAAAAAGGGCAGGCAAAGAACACTCAGGCAAATGTGTAACAGATAGCTACAAGTGGGAGGAATGTCAGCTTTGAACCCTCACTCTAATAATCTCTTGCATAAGCTTTTATATAAGCAGCCAGTCTCCTCATAGTACCTATCCTTGGGGGTGGGCTCCCAGCATTCCCTAGGGCTGGCTACTCCTCAAGCAGCTGTCCCTCTGGAGAGCCTCTCCTTGGAATATGAGTGAATCAGCCACCCCCGGAGAACCCTAGAGTGCAGGTGATAGGAGAAGCACAGGCCCCAGGGAAGACTGAGCTCCTGCTGTCTAGTTTTGTGGCTAATGGCAGAATTCTAGCCCTGCCAGGTTTTGCCACCTTTGACTCAAAACAACATTTTACTTGCAATGTAAATGAACCCAAGGCAACACAGCTGTTGTACTGGGTGGGGCCAAGGCATGATGTGCATGGAAATATCCACCTCGGAGTATTTCTGAGGCACCATTAATAATGGAAAATGACAGTTTGGGGGGGGGCTAAGATTCACGTCAGTTCTTATGTCATTTGGATCTATTTGCTCAGGCAATGCTACAGGGAACCCCATGGATACAGTAGCTGTAATTTTTTTTATATAACAGGATCCCCTACAGACCCCCTACCACTAGACACGCAGCATTGCCAGCTCTCGCCCTTTTATCATTAGTGTGATGATATTTGGTGTGTTTCTTAAAGCCCCAGCTCCTGGAAGCATCTGATCAGGTGAGAAGTTCAGCTTTAATTTTTTTAATATGTAAGTTTCTTGCCCTCACAGTAGTAGAGAAAAGCTTGAAAATGTGACTGAATGTAACCCTGAAATCTCAAAACCCAGAAGGCAAAGAGAAAGAACTCCTCATTAAAAACAAATCAATTTTTTAACCTAATCTCATGGTTTTGGGGCCTCATTCATGATTTTTAAATGTGTGGGGTTGGCAATATTGGGCACTGCACAAACGCATGTTAAAAGACAACCTCTTCCCCTAAGAGCTCTCAATAGAGAAGACAGATAAAGAAAGTATCATTGTCCTCATTTAATTTATGGGGAGGTTAAGGCATAAAGAAAGCAAGTGACTTGACTGCAAGTGACTTGACTTGAAAATACTAAGTCAAATCGCCTTTCTCTACACACTTTTTAGCACCTCTACTTCCCATCCGGGTCAGAACGAGGAAATGCAGAGACATATGCAAAAGCACAATAATGGAAATTAAAGACTGGTTCTTATTGCTCTGAACCAGGTCACCTTTCCCAGCTGATTATGGAAGGAGGCAGCATGTTTAGTGGTTAAGGCAGGGGGGTGAGAGGAGTCTGGCGAGCTGGGTTATCTCCTCAGCTCCACCACTGGCTCACTAAGTGACTCACTAAGTGACCCTTAGCCCTGGTCTACACTAGGACTTTAGATCGAATTTAGCAGCGTAAATCGATTTAAACCTGCACCCGTCCACACAATGAAGCCCTTTATTTCGACTTAAAGGGCTCTTAAAATCGATTTCCTTACTCCACCCCTGACAAGTGGATTAGCGCTAAATCGACGTTGCCGGCTCGAATTTGGGGTACTGTGGACACAATTCATGGTATTCCTCCGGGAGCTATCCCAGAGTGCTCCATTCTGACCGCTCTGGACAGCGCCTCAACTCAGATGCACTGCCAGGTAGACAGGAAAAGAACCGCGAACTTTTGAATCTCATTTCCTGTTTGGCCAGCTGGCAAGCTGCAGGTACCATGCAGAGCTCATCAGCAGAGGTGACCATGATGGAGTCCCAGAATCGCAAAAGAGCTCCAGCATGGACTGAACGGGAGGTACGGGATCTGATCGCTGTTTGGGGAGAGGAATCCGTGCTATCAGAACTCCGTTCCAGTTTTCGAAATGCCAAAACCTTTCTGAAAATCTCCCAGGCATGAAGGACAGAGGCCATAACAGGGACCCGAAGCAGTGCCGGTGAAACTGAAGGAGCTGAGGCAAGCCTACCAGAAAACCAGAGAGGCGAACG